ATCATTAAAGCTATACATTCTGAACATAGCAGCAAAGAATTATTTGCTGTTTAAAGATATGGTGGAGTGATGTCTATCTGAGCAGAGAATGGAGTTGCTCTCTATTTCGTCCAAGCTTCTCCTTGCTTTGTTGACATGTTAGTGCATTTTAGTTTATATGAGCGTGCCGCACAGGGCCACAAAGTGCTGCCACACTGCACTTTGCTCATATGGCGGTTACAGCTAGTAATGCCATCCCGACCGACAGCGGCGTTGCGGAAGCGTAGCACCCATAGCTTTTTAGCGCTGCAGCTGAGGCTGATGGGAATGTTAATAGTTTTGCAGGTATTTGGTCATAAAGTATAGAGAAAGAGCGCAATTAAGTCCTGCAGCACACCGGAAGGGAAAACCAATTCCTCGCTCTCCATGGACTTTGTATTGTGTGAAGGTGCCTCCTTGTCACTTTCATCTGCTCGCAAACAGAAAAATTCCCTAAAAGCTGCTGTGTGGTGGGATGAACTCCCAACCGCGTAAAGACCCCAGACTAAGTTTTTATAAGCTGCCGAACCAAAAAACTGAGGATACAGAAAATAAGACATGAGGCATTGGCGGGAAGAATGGGGAAAACTGGGATCCTGTGGGAGAACGTTACCTGTGCAGCAAGCCTTGTCCAAATGTCAGTTTTTGGCTAGACGCTAACTATATGTCTGTTAAGTTCAGCATTTTGACAGTTATACAACTTGTTTTATAGTAGAATGTGGAGCGTGGAGTGTCACGTCAGACAGATATGAATGTTACATCGGACAAATATGCAGTATTATGTTTGCAAGTGCCTTCGCGAACAACTGTAACTTGCTAACACATAGCTAACATTAGCTATGTAACTTGTCTCATCGCATTATCATTTTATTATCAACTGTACCTCTGATTGACATGGGGTGCTAAAATAATTATTTGACATGTTAAACTCTTGACATTATAGCAAGCTACAGGCATTTCAAAAGCGTCTCAGTCGTTGTATATTGTGATGCCGCTTGTTCTATCCAACAGCTCATTTTAACCACATAGCAACAAGGCATCCTTTCTACAAAAGATGTATTTTTCCCCTCACACACTGGCCACCACCACTTGTCCACATCTGTTAAGAGCTGCTCCAATCCCTGGGAATGTAACAGCAGGAGTTTTGAACAGAAAGGCTAAGAGGGTCAAGTAGCCAAGTTGCATGAATTCTGCCAGCATGCACATCAGCTTTCCTTAACAGTATCAGTTTTATTAAGTGACTACTGCATAGTCTTTTTACTATCTGAGCCCATCCAGAACAACTGCATCAGTAATATCCCCCTGATCTAATTGTAAAACAGCTCGGCTAAATTGGTTTACAAAATGTAATTGTATTCCAGTCTGGAGCACTACCTCAGTCATTTGAGCCACATCATAGTGATTACTACCACTTCAGGATAAATAGCACACTTCATAGAGATGCTGGTTTACCCACAGCAGATATGTGCTGCAACAAATTTGTATTTGATAATCCTCTGCTTCAATTCACTCTTAGAGAGAAAATCTCTCACACCTAAACAAACATTCTGTCTCCATTTGTCTTCTAAATTAACTAATTACAAAAAAGATTGCAAGCTTAATAGTAACAAAACAAGAGAACAATCCAACATGTCTGCAGGATAAACCTGGACGCTGAGACCTTGGATATAATAGGTGTGGGCTGGTATAGTATTACTCGAGGATCATTGTGCAGTAATAAAATGTCTGAAGGCAAGAAATCCAGACCGATAAACATAAAAATTAAAGATGCACAACACAAGATTGGGAGCATTTCAACTGTCTCTCAACCGCTCTCAACATGGCGATGCCTGAGCCGCAGCAGCTCGTAGCGAATGGTGCTAACCCAGACAATAAGAGATCATTTAAAAAAATGCCTTAATATGATTTTAAGAAAGGAGTTGCAGCTACTTCTTTGAGGTCCCAGGAATGCTCTATGTCTTCTCAAAAGGAAAACGTAATACTGAGTTCGGGAGGACTATGTTGCTTTTAGTCTCCCTGCTATGAGCAATTGTGTTGTGAATGCAGCCAATGCAGTCTCCTCAGGATCATAAAGGCTCAGACAAGGCATTCCTTCCTAAATCCATGCAGTATTATATTATTCTTATCCAAGACAATCAGACTGCCAGCTAATAAACCCATAACTGCGGAAATCTGGGAGAAACATTCTGAAACCATCTGCGTTAGAAACCAAGCAAACCCATCTGCTGTGAGACTCAACAACTTCCATTGCCAACATCGTCACGATCTCTTTCTCTGCAATATCCCCTCTTATGGCCTCATTGCCAATATCGTATTCCTCATTTTTCATTCCCCTCCGCTTCTTTTCTTTGCTGCACCATGAGATTTACAAGGGACGGTCTTAAATTGTCCAGGAGTGAGGCAGGAAATAGGTTACTGCCCAACCTTCAGGTCACAGTTATTTGAGTTGTGATCCAGCTGACCATGACAACAGGATACTCTTTAATCTCTGTGAGCACAAAAATTGTTTCAGAGGGGAAGTGCGCTGTCCAAGACCAGCAGAGACATACAGTATGTACTGCTGGCACTGAAGCCTTCCACGATGGCCATGAAGCCAGAGTGGGCAGAGTGGTCCTTTAGACAAAGGCTGAAATAGGCAAATAATGCTCTTTCTTAACCAACTTAGTTTATGCAATCCCAGTTTACATACTCCACATGTCTATACTGATCGTTGGCTGTAATGAAACTGATTTCTGATGAAAGCGCCTTCATCTCCAAGGTGGCGTTGCTCTACATAAGGTTGTTCTCACTGTTTTGAGGTATAGAAAGAATCTGATGATGTTGAAGACCTTCAACACAATTCAAAAGTATGTAAAGTGTGAGCCCCTGATACCTGCAAACTGTAAATGCATTCATATGCTTTTTCATTCAAGCAAATTCTACCTTTACTATACTTACCCATTGACGTGCTGGTGAAGTACAGATGTGATGAAGTGCTTTTCAGATGTTTTGCTTCCTCTTGGCTGTTCATTCAGAGTCTGAGAGGTATACACTTTATATATTTATATCAACCTAGAAATGAATTAAGTTGTGTTGGATTGACTCACTGCTCCTACATGTTGAGGAGGGGGTAATCCAATCTGTTGCTCTGTATGGGGAATTCAACAGCAGTTACATTGTTGATCCATGGTGATTCTCAATAAATCTCTCACAGACCTACTCCCGTGGGCATAGACAGTAAAAAATGGCAGGATGTGACGGCAAGTTACAGTAAATGAAACAAAATAAAACAATGGCAGTTTGTACCTCAAGTTCACAGTTTGGGGCTGTCTTGAGTCCAACACCGTATTATCATAATTCAGATCACAGACGTTAGGAATAAGCCCAACACAACATGGCTGTGGGGACACAGAGGCTGCCAATGGATTTAAAATGTCTGCACCATCAATGTTCACTGTTTACAAGCAAAGGAGTTAAATGTGAGGCGTTGTTTGCAATAATATAATTGACAGATGTTTTGTTTTTTTGTCATGCATAACAACAGAAAATATATTGGGACAGAACCCTTTCACTACACATTCGTGGGTGTATGCTTTTCTCATTTCAATTCACAGAGATTGAAATTTTTTCACAGGCAAATGTAAGGATTTTTGCCTGTGAGGCTTTGCTTCAACACCCCATGAAAGTCTGTTTTTGCTGACCAGTGGTTTAACTTCTCAAATGTACTCCAGGGAGTGCGGTACACTGTGACATCAGTGTTGGGTGTGGTTAAATGTGCAAAATAGCACACCTCTGACCAAATGAATTTACTCTTAAATGTCAGCATTGTTTAGCTTTTAATTAACTGATTTTTACTAACTTGTAAAGCAAATGAAACAACTTTTTCCTTTACTAAAATAGCAAGTGGCTGTGTCATACGTGGAAGGAATTCAGAGGTAACAGAAGGGTACCAAGCTGATACACAGGCACAGTCGGTAGAGGCTAATTACTCAATTTCATCTGTTTTGATGAAGTCGTTCATTTAGAGTTGGGTTCGTTCAGCCTCGTGGAGCCCCAGGCTGAATGTAAACCTAATGTAACTAAGGGCAGCAGCCTTTTGACTCTTCTAAACTCCATCTTATAATCTGAGCTGGTTCCAAGTGTCTGGCCTCAGGCTGTAGTTGGCACTGTTTTACCCTAGAGCTATTCAGAGCCTTCATCAAATGAAAACAATATGGAGGTTTAATTTTTGCACAAAGCCGGCTTCTTGGGATAGAATTTCACCCTCTACCAAAATCTCTGAGAGTCATAAACATATTCTGTTTCCTCAGGCATGAGGTGAAATGACAGGTTGCAGTAATAACAAGATTATAAAACTTTTTATTGATCCCCTCTTAAGATGAATTTATAAAGCAAATTCCACACATATCTCAGGTTCACATAATTATTCTTTTTTTTTTACGTAAAGTTATGGCACCATTACTTTCTATAATTTCACCAGAAAAAATATTTATGTGGCTGTGGCCATGGTTTTATTTATACAAATGATGAGGAAGTACGTGTCTTGAATTGACCCACTTTTAAAATAGCAATTACACTATATCAACATTCCCCAAAACAGAATTAGCCGGGCCAGTAAGATGTTTAAGCCAGTGATTTCGGGTGCAAGTTAAAATATACATTCCACTGACATATCGTCTGACACCAATGTACACCTCCGGCGGACAAAACAGTCAAGGAAGCACAATTGGTTTCCCCTTTGGAAGCAACACAGTGGTAAACAACTGATGGACAATATTAAACCCAAGGGGAGAAGCTGAGTATGACAAACAGATTTATGCATGGGTGAACTCCACTGGGCCAGAGCCATCAATTCTCCATCTTTGTCAGTGCCTGGAGATGTTTCTCTCGCCTCCGTCTCACCGTGGCTGTTGTTACATTTATCCCTGTTCCTCTGCTAAGTGCTAATACATTTACATTTTTAGTGCTGCTCAGTAATAAAAGAGGTGGAATGAGTGGAGGCCTTTTACTATTGCTAAAGCAAACATCAATGAACTCATCTCACTGAGAAGTCACCCCACCTTCAAACTACCCCGACAGTCCATCCACCCTCCCACAGCTCGGCCACTGCTCCACAGTGCAGGTAAACAGTGTTGCGGTTTGAATCTCCTCAGTTTCACCCACAGTTCTCGCCCTCATTTCGAGGATCACTCACAAGAGTCTGCCTCACACGGGAAGCTCCGCATTAGTAATTTGTCCAGTCTGGATTCTCTGTGAACGCCTTTAAACACGTGGAGGAATCATTTTGTAACCAGTATGCACCAACTGAAGTCACGGGCTAAGCACACAGGCACAAAATAGGAAAAGAGGGGTTGAGGTTCGTCTCTACTGTCTCAGTGGACCGACTTGCTAGTCTTTGGGAGGGGTCTAATTTTTCATATTATATATTATAAACAGCCTCACTCAAGAATCCACTCTGCTTCATTTAAGAAAACATGAACCTGGAGGCAGCCTTCAGGATATTTTCTTCACTTTCCGTATTTTGTTGTTTAGATGAAACAATTCCACTGCCTTCATCAAAGCCGGGTTTCATCAGGAAGGGTGAAAATTAAAAAAAGCAATTTTAACAGAGACAAAATCACAAACCATCACATAAGGAAAAAAATAAATAAATGAAATGAGCTGTGCAGGATTTGATTACGAAACAAACCACGGATAAAAATAGCAAAGCATTTTTCAAACACAGCCCAGTCGGTATCTAAGTAAATTATCTACACGCTTGTGCTGCATCTCATCTGATGCAACACTACAATACTGACCTTAGGTGAATGATCTCGAGAGGTATAACCAAGGCCGACCAGCCATGATAAGATCTTCACCCTGCCAACTACTGAATAAGGTAATAACAAGCCTACTTTAAGACAAGTGGTTATTGGGTCGTTTGAAATAGAACAATTCACAGCTTTACAAAGCCCTTTCCTTGGATAGCTGGTAGGGCACATCAATATAGTTGAGGCATTTGGAACAATGACTTGATAAGACTACATAATGTGTATGATTGGTGAGCAGGGAAAGAGTAACAAAAATGTCATCTCATTAAGTCTTAATCCATTTTGAATTGACTGTTGTGGATCCTGTGTGTGAGAGAGGAACTCTCAACTTAGCACCTATGCTAAGTTTGACCTTTCCACTGTGTATACATTCTTTGCTTACATGTCACAAGGAAAGAGCAGAAAAGAAAACATACACAGGCCATTACTAAGATGGGGAAGAAACAGTCAGCTGTGCATTTACACCTGGGGCACTGGTCGCTGCTTCCTGCAGTGAACTGTTCTCACATGGTTGCAGTTCCAGTTAATCACATACAGTACTTCCAGTGCAGTGAACAGCAGGTATTTTGGAATGGGAGACCAGAAAAAGAAGGCACAGAGGGGTGCTTCAGAAGTGTCCATGCGAAGGGAAATTGTGCATCTATACAGCTTACCAATAACACTGTGAATAGGATCTGGTACAGTACATCATGTGTAACAGTAGTCTATATCTGGGATTTCTCCTTCTCTATAGCCGCGGTTGGTGCCATGTCCTGCATTGGAAACGTGGTTGTCACCTTTGTACAGGCCAGTGCCATTGGAGGGAAATATGGTATGAATAATGTAATCCTCTCGTAGGGGCTTAGGCTGCATTGGTGGGCAAGCCGCCATAGGCGTCATCTGGAACCCAGGACTACGGATCTCCAAGATGGTATTGTCCTTCTTGGTGCCTGACTCAATGTAATCGTCATAGGTCTTGTTTTTTCGGGAGTTGCTGCGAGTGTAGTGGTCACGAGAGCACAAATGCCCAGTCCTGTGTCCATACCAACAAAAGATGCCAACAATAAGAGCCAATGATACAATGGCGGTAGCCCCACCAATAATCCCTGCCAGGGGCAGGACTGTCATCTGCTTTGAGTCTTCATCCTCTATCTCCTCCAGAGGGATGAGGTCAGATGTTTCAGCTTTTGCACACACGAGAGCTTCATCAGATTCAGGATCTCCAGAAATAACCCCTTTGCTTTCAGAACTGGCCGCGAGGGGTACCATGCAGATGATGTAGCTGGAGCGTGGTTGAAGGGAGGTAAGAAGGTACTCTCGACGGTCGCCCCGGACCAAAGTCTCCGTGATTGATCCCATGCCGTTCCCAGTGCCCAGTCGGAGCCAGCTTAGCCTGAAAGAGGAGCTGGGCTGGGCCACGCTCCAGGTAACACGGACGCTGTTGTGAGAGAGAGGCTTTACGTTGAGGGCCAGGCTCTTCCCCACACCGCTGCTGCTAAGAGTGTAGTCTAAGCCAGAGTCAGGAAGCCCCAGACCAGGTCGCTTCGAGCGGAGGGTGAAGAGAGAGCCCTGTGGAGGGGTGTGAGTAGTGGAGCTATCAACTCCACCGCCGCCCACTCTGTCTCTGGTCCCTGCTGTCCTCACCACCTCACACTCCTCCATCTCGCTGGTCAGGTCTATCAAAGCCATGTCTCGCACCCTGTCAGGCCCATGGCAGGTGAGACCTCTGACAGTGATGGAGTTGCCGCGGGCATGCAGCCAGTCATACAGCCAACGCAGGTTGCAGCCACAGTGCCATGGATTGCCTCGCACTAGCAGCTGGCCCAGGCTGTCCAGGTCTTTGAACAGCCCCCTCGGCAGAGTTGTCAAGTTGTTTCCTGACAGGTCCAGCCTAAGCAGCCTGCGCATGCCATCCAAGGAACCACGTGGCATATGAGTCAGGGCATTTTCCTGTAGTGACAGGCGCTGCAGATGGGCGCTGGGCAGATTGACAGGTGGGGTCTGGAGGGAGTTACGGACTAGAGACAACTCGGTTAAGTTGGAAAGGCGGGAGAATGTGTCATCGGCAATGCGCTGGTTTGCCAAAAGGTTCCCATCCAGGACAAGACATCTAAGTGAGGCGAGGCCTCGGAAGGCGTGGGTCGGGATAGTGGAGATTCGGTTGTCATCCAGACGGAGTTCTTCCAGTGAGGCAGGCAGTCCTGAGGGGATACTTGACAGGTGGTTGCGTGAAAGAAAAAGTAGGCGCAACCGTGGGTTGTCAGCAAAGGCCTGGTCCTCAATGCTGACAGTGGAAACTGAATTGTCGTCCAAGTGGAGCTTCTCTAGCAAGGGCATCCGAGCCAGCGCACTACGAGGAATAATGCGTATGTTGTTGTCCTGCAAATGCAGTTCACGTATGGATGGTGGCAGGTGCACAGGAAATTCATCCAGTTCATTATCATACAGGTAGACCACACGGACGGTAAGCTGGCGCTCCAAGGAGGTGGGTAAACCCGGGTTGTTTATCTGGTTGTTTTGAAGGTAGAGAATGGACGCCGAAGGAGGCAGTGAAGGGATGGAGCTCAGACCACGATCATTACAGTAGATAAAGTCCTCATCGCACCTGCATACAGATGGGCATATCATGTCCCTGTCCCCAATGTACCCTTGTATCGTGGCTGTAGCGAACTGAAGCATGCCGGCACGTAGTGTCAAGCAAAGAAACAGCAGAAAGAGTCGGGCCCGCAGCTTAGCCACACCTACAGGTGCCATTATGGTGAACATAAGCACTGTCTTTCTTTTCAAGTTGTGTTGTCAATCCTCAAATTGTTGCAGTGAGCTGGAATCCTGTGACCTCCACCCTGAGAGAGAGAAAGAGAAGTTACAGTCAGCACTAAAGCACTAATTAATTAATTATTGGTCAAAGACAACTAAGGTGATTTCAGTAATACCTTCTGTTCAGCTTCATACTATACTTTCATTGTCTTATGTCTAAATGATATTAGAGCCTGCGTTCATGCTATAATGAGCAAATCTAAACAGAAGCTACAGAGATATCTTTCAATTTTTGGCAAGATTGTTTAGCTGGATCTGTGAGGATTTCTCTTAGCCAAAAGAACTTGAAAGATAACTGCACAGCCCACCATCGTTATGTTGAATTAGCAACAGTAATCCAAGACTACTGACAGCTAGAAGACTAAACTTTAGTGATTCCTGTACTGAATGTTTAAAGCAGAGTGAATATTTAGTCTTTGGAAAAGCAACTCTGTAATTGACAAATCCAATAATACATTTAGAATTAAGCCTTGTGCATAAATGTGAAGTCTTGAGAACATTCTCCGCTTCTGAATTATTTAAGAGCTCTTGAGAGGCTCTATAACTCCATTAGTAGTTGTCAGCAGATGGCTGCATTAGCCAGACAGAGCTGAAGATAGTTTTCACAATCAAGATGGAACAACATGTTTGAGCTCAGAGCAATCGTCTTCAAGAGCTAAATTCTCATCATGCAGTAAAGATGGAACTAGGCACTAAAATTCTTGATAAAAACATCGACGTAAATCATGTCTTCTTAATCTAGTTGTATCGAATTAATAAAGTACAATAAAATGGTAATGGAGATGTTAATCTGCAGCAGAATGCAATTTATTTGGCAACAAATTATCTATTTCTATTCACCACAGTTGAGCTGCACTCAGAACTTGATTGGCATCACGATTTTCTTTTGTTATTGATTAAGCGAGATATGTCACAACAGTAAGTACATCATTGACTACATATATTTGGAATTTGGAGTGACAACTTGAGCCCATCGCAGTCTTCAATAACCGAGGCCATTAGTCAAGCCGTTAAGGCCCACACAGCTGCAAACATAGTCGGGCTGTAGTATTGATTTCCTCACAAATCCAAGGTGATCTGCCAGAGCCAGTTGGCTCTCGTGCATATTACAGGATTCCCAGGGACGTCAGACAGCGCGATAATTAACCAAATGAATGACAACTCTGCTGGGAGTTGACTTTGCTGAATATACATTTGCAAACATTAATCTGGGCTTATTCATTACCAAAATATTGAAAATTATGAGAGCAAACTTTGTTGACACGAGGCTCTTTTTCAAGTGTAATGAATGACCACCGAACCCTTGAACAGTTGTTCAGTCGTGGCTGGTAGGGGATCATTTAAAAGCAATTACTGTCTATCCTTTGTCAGTTCCAATGTTTTGCAAATTCTTCTTACAAATAGAGGATTGTCTTTGTTCTCCATTGAGAGTTGATGTGAGCATGATTTTATGACGATCTCATTCACCATTAGAATATACTGTGTTTGATTGGGACTTAATGCTCTAACTATCAAACCTATCCAGACACCTTTAAGCTGCCAGTATGTTTCTTCAGTAGTGCTTGTCGGATGGGGTTGTGAAGGCAGAGTTTGAACTCCTCTCGTTAGCTCTCTACTATTTCTTCCACTTTTGATTGTACTGTCATTCCCATGTACAGTATATCATCGGTTCTCTCCACCCTCTCAATGACTGCAGTCTTACCTGCCTTCGAGAACAGCTATTAACAGTTTTGCCTCCCAACGTGGTCTGACAAAGCTTTCTAGCATAACCCAACCCACGCCTTATGCATGTTGGTCATGACCATTAGATTCTTCCACGAAAAAAGATGTTTGTAGACTCCACCAATCTCTTAATAGTGCCTCTTAAAATATCTAAATTCTGATCACAATAAAACTGACTAGCATGGACGGTGAACAATTCAGAAAACAATATGTGTTAGACAAGATGACATTATTCATGGAAAAATGAATGCCTGAGGTCGAGGTTGGCTCAATGTAATTTAAATTTCGCTGGCAGCAGATTGTTTCGCTTCATTTTACCTCACTGTTTATACACTTCTATACAGACTCCTTGACAACAACACAGAGACATATCGTATTTAATGTTAAGGGAAAATAAAGAGGTTTATGACTAACTTTCTTTTAGTTCAGTTGTCTTCAGTGTACTATGATAAAACATTCATGACTTATAATTGTGGGTTCTTCAAGGCATTTTGTGCTTCTTTCCCCTGTTCTATCCAGTTATCATCTAGTTGTTGAAATATTTTCATATTTATAACCCTGGCAGGGCAGATTATTACAGAAATCTACCTGTAAAACAGTCAATCATGCAGATAATTTGTTCTCCAAGAAGTTGTACTGTAAATATATTGTATTATATTCTTCATTGAATATCAGGCTTGGGACTTGAGTATCATAGTTTAAATAGAAAATAAATATATATATATATATAGAAGGGCCTTTATTAACAATATAACCATTTGTCACTGCATTATTTCCAAGTTTTAGCTTTACATCACACTTCTTGTTTGATTTATGTCCGTCTCAATCAGATAAAACATCTTCCAACTCACTGATCATGTAACTTCCTTTTTGTACCTATATCTACTTCAATCCTCTTGACAGTGAAGTGGTGTCAGTGCAATCTAGGACCGGAGGAAAAAATGATTTCTGAAATTGAAAAAGATGGTGTTGTTTATACAAGTTGTGCAGTTTCATATTGGTCGATTTTTATGACCAAGAGGGCTATACACTGCATTCCGCTGTGAATGTTTACAAGGTTTCGGTGTGTACAAATGTGTATAACGCGTGTGTGGGGGTGGGGGGGGGGGATAAGTAGTGCTAAAGAATGGATGACTTCTGAATCCCTGGAGCTTCGGCAGTGCGTCTCTTAAACACTGGAGTATTTGGGTCAGCCCTTTAAGAACAACATAGATGTTGTGTGAGATTGAAGCGGTGCCGAGTGCCAGAGGGATTAATAGAGCATATTGAGCTGTGATTCTCTGAATTAAGCAGGTGCTACAAAGAATGGCAGACAGTCATTTCAGGTTGTTCTGCCTTATGGTTGCTCATTTCCACCCCCCTATATCAGAGAATAATGTAAAAGCATTAAAGTGCACCTCAATGCTCTTTGTGTGTGTGAATGTTTCTGCTTCGGACGTGCTGTGTGTTTGTCTGTCCATGCACGATCAAATTGCAAACATTAAGTCTGTTGAGGGGAGCAAAGAGGGGATGTGGGGTAATGTGTTAGCCAGACAGCCAGCCGCCTCAGGCAGAGTACAGCGCACACACAAACAACCCCCAATCTAATACTCGACTGGATCGATTTACATAAAAATACAGGGAACCAGTCAGAGTGACAGAAAGCAGCTTTGAGCAAGACCTTTGAATCCCATCTCCCCATTAAGTCCCCCACAGAGGGATAGGACTGGGAAATCTGGAAAACCGGATTTTGGATGACCGAAGGGGCTACTGATGTATCAGGAAATCCACTTTACTGATGGCAGGGAAAAGATAATAGCGGCCAACAGCTTATCTTACATGCCATGCCCATGGATCGTATTTAAGATTTGCAGATTGGACATGTGGAAAGGATGACGCTAAACACGATGGTTATGGTGATGACAGGAATAAGTCCAGGGATCTGAGACAGATGAAAAAAAAATAAGAGAGGCCAGACTAGCATGGCCTATTCATTTCATTTAATCGTAGAGGTTGTTGGGATTTCTATCTGTGCGTACGTCATATTTCTGGCAATGCTTGGACTAAGAGACCATGTCTTTGCAATAATGTACTATAATCTTCAAGATATTAAAACATGGAGATAAAAAACATGAACTTTAATCCCCACAACAAACAGACAAGGCACAAATACGCACTGCAGCGTACATAAAAAAAACATGAAATATCTTCCTCTCCACAGATTGCTTCTTTCATGTATACAAAATCATGATCGTCGTTGTCACTTTTATGTAAAAATAAACAAGACACTGCAGCCATAACGGCAAATGATGTTCAAGTGTTTTGAATAAAGCCATCTGTATTCATCGCCTCGCGTATCTCATTCAAACCAAATGAGCCCCTGCGTTTGTTGCTCAAAATGAGTTATAGTCGTGAATTATTTGATGTGCCAGTGCATTACAATCCGCTAAAATATCGTATTATCTTCTCTCCTTTGAAAACATGCGAGTGTGCTATAGAGGCAGATTGAATAGCATGTTAAAGGCTGAATAAGTAATGGATTCTTACCCCCACACTAACTCACTTTTTTTCTTGGTTTGTGCACCAATTTCCTGGCATGAAAGAGTGATTGGATTTGTACTCAGCAGTTTCTCATCTGAGCTGCTGACACAAAGACCCGGGGTATGTGACATATATAAAGATTTGTGTTTTTTCCGGATGAACTAAGTTGTCTCATTTTTGTCACATAGTCTATAATAACACTTGAGGGGAAAAGACCTGTATTTCCTGCTGTGTTAGGATTAGGGAAAGGAAAAAAACACTCCATCAAGATCTTAAATTCTTCAATTACATGTACAAACAAACCAAAGATTGAATTCTATTTCTAATAAATTACATATCATACATGCACAATTGTAGGGCAAATCTTCCAGTACACAAAGCTCTTTCAGAGATGTTTGCATCCAATTGCTGTATAAATATGAAAAAAAAAAAATCACAATACAAATCAATATTGGCCCTACAAATTGACAGTTAATATTGTGCCCTCAATACTATACGCTCAATATTCATTTGAAAACATGCTGTAGCAAAGTAATAGCGATAGCACAGCAGCAATAGAGTGCTTCACCTAATTCACAGTTGGGGGTGTACCTTCATCTTGGGGGGGGGGGATTGTTTGCTAGTGCAGCTCACAGGGTCTTCAAGTAAGTTGATATATAGCGCCACAGCACTACAACATGTTTTATCTTTACAGCGCTATAATATGTTCTGTCATGGCACCAGTCTAATTCCCGCTGCAGCTGCTGCTGCCTCTGAATCATTTCGACTCAGTGTTTCTTCCTCCAGACAGCCACATTACAGGTAAATCCTTTCAGCATTAATAAAAGGACCGCAGCTCCTTGCAGCAATATGGTCCTGCATTGTGTGCAAAGGCAAGAAGATATCTTAGGGGGGGGGGGGTTATGTTGAAAAGGTATTAACAGGATCAGTCATCTTAACTGAAGTGAACTGGGTAGTTTTGGTTTTGTTGTTAAGTTTCACAAAAATAGGTTTGGCCTAGTAATCACCCCATTGTTTTTGTTAAACTGAGTAATACAACAAACAATTAGTTATTTAGGTCATCAATTCAACTTTCACACCGACTACTTGGTTCCATTTGATTGCCAATCTTATTGTTTTAGTCTGTTCTACTTTAAATATTTATACTTTAAATATTTGAATATCTGTTTTTACAGTTTCTGTATGTGTATAGCCTGGAGGGGTGCAATGCTCTATTGTACAATGACAATAAAGCTGAACCTTCAACCTTTAACCCTGAAAATTGCCTTACTGATATCCAATGACGTTCATTTTGTCAAGCAAGTTTTCCCTGCCTTTGTTTGCTAATTCAGGAAAAAAAACAACAACTGACTCTGGACTTCATCTATGAAGCAATTTAAAATAAAGGTCTTGATATTGAATGGGAGATTTGCTGTTCTGGCACATTGGTGGATGTTACAGTGAGATAGCACAAGCTTGGCAGAATAGCTGGCAAATAAACTTTAGATGTGTCAGTCTGTGTCAGGGGTCATAATAAAGTCTTTGATCAATGCCTCACTGGCTTCGCAAATCAATTGCATTGCCTTTAATGTTGCTGGTGTTTCTTGGTGCTGCATAAAATAAAAAGGAACCAGTTTACTCTCCAGGAGAGTCTTCTCCGGTTTTGAGAAAACATACTTGATCATTTTAAATGGGACATATAAAAGCAAATTTATCTTCTGGTTTAAGTCAAGGAGTCAGCCTGTGGTTGTCACGCTTCAGCTAGGACTCTGATTGGATTTATTTATTATCATAATTTGTAAGAAAAAAGAAGAGAGGGAGGTTGGTTAGCTTAATTGGTAAAATTTGAATTCAACCCTGACAAGTTGTAACATAAATACAGGGCGGGTGGGAGGCCCAGGCAGTGGAGTCACGTGACAAGGCTGTGCTTTCAGGGTGAAAATGAGGCCACATCCGAAAAAAAACAACAGGGGCAAGAAAAAGATAACATCAATGAAAAAGCTCTCTGTATCCGACACCTTTACAGGGCTGTCAGGTTATGTCTGGCAGCCATACTGGAGGTCCAACAGCTATGAACGACTGAGAAGGCCTGTAAATCGTCTCACCGCTGCTGAAATGATGTGAAAAATGTATGTGCCTTTGGGTGTAAACTGATGACCTCACTGCTGCTAACCATCCCTGTCATGTACTAAACACACCTGACTCACACACATCGACATCAGCAGCAGCTGCTGCTAGCTGGGGCAACTTTTCAAGATAAAGAATTTTACCTTTTTATTTGTTTTTAATGTATTCTTCATGCATTTTATATCCTGAAATTATTTGTGGCTGTTCCTTTTATTTATTCATTCAAGAATAAAAGTTAACATTCATTTTCCCCGTGAGGAACTCCAATTGTGCTTTTTAGTTCAGGTCAGGTCCGTATTTTTGTTTCCTGTGTCTGAATGAAGTGAGGGACATTTTAAGGAAAGTTAACATGCAAAGCACTTTTTCGATTTGAAAAACCAGACAGTGTTATTGGCTTTGCATTTATGTCCTGACTTCAGTTTTTGGCAGGCTGCTGTCACAGACTTTCCATTGTAATCATATTGACCAATGAAGAAATCAGTTTTTTTATTTCAACATCATAATGGTTATTTTTTCCAGGATAGTGAAAATTAAAAAATGGAACAGACTTTCAAAGTAAAGCTTGTGATTTATGGTTGTGCTTTATCGAGCAGGAGCGTTATATCAGGCGATGTTAGTCTATCGCAAATATACGGTATAAGTTAGAGATGGGATGATATAGGATTCATAGGACTCACAATAACTTGATTGTGGTGAATTTTCGCCATCGACATAATCGTGAATCTGCTGCTTTCAGTGACGCACATAGCAACGCCTCTTCCACTGCCTTGTGTCAAGTATAAATTTGGCTTAACATCTCAGGTTTCTCTTTCCTGCACTGTGCATATTCCTCCTATCTATTCGTCGATACAGTTGAATTAAATTCGTCCTTAGCCACAAGAACATTTCACAATACAATTCGCATCCTCCCCCAAATCCACCAAAATAGAAAGTACAAGCAGATCATAGGCCAGTTTCCATCGCATGCTGCTGCCATGCTCCCAATCTACTGTATTACTCACATCCCTGTCGGCAACGTGGATCTTCACATCTCATCGACACCCTCCGCATCGCAATTTACACATCAAATCCCACACTGTACTTTTCAAAAATCAAAACATGCTCGTGCATGCCTTCGAACACACAGCGTGGACATCTGAGGACTCAATTTCAGGTTGCACTGATTGACCAGTTCTGTTTTCCAGTTAGAGGAAAATATTTTTCTTAACTTGTGTATATGTGGCTCTTGTTGGAACGATTGCTTCATTATCACACCTCCCGCAACAATCACGTCTTCCTTTCACTCTTGTCTGGCCTCTCACCTGTTTGTGTTACGTTTACAATCTCAAAGTATCTCAATGCGTTGCAGCTTCTCTCGCTCTCTCTTTCATGCTACGTATATAACTCCCTCCTTATGCAACGTCTGCTGAATCACATTTTAAACAGAAGTCTAAAGGCAAACAAATACTTTCTTTTCTTTTGACTGACACATACCGTCCTTTTAAAATCGGCTTTTATCAAATAAAATCTTGTCCGTCGGCAGCAATGCAACTTTGCAAAATGAATTACAAGGCCAATAGATAAATGTAATCGAAGTCAATGTGAGGAAACGTTTCCTTGTATAATGGGATTGTAGTTGTGGTTTAAAGGCACTTGTTTGTTTAGAGGTGTATACGTTTGTCTTTTACCACGTGAGAAATCACAGTGGATAAATAGATACAGGCCGCCTCCGGGGCTCAGAAGAAAATCCCTGACTTTGACTTCTCGGTGTGTGTGTGTGTGTGTGTGTGTGTGTGTGTGTATGTGTGGGTGGGTTTCTCCTACATGAAACTTCAGCTGTGGGAGTGTTCAGATCTCAAACAAAAGTTTCTTTGAATCCCGAGTCGTCTCACTCTTCACTCTCTTACGACTCCACATGATCTCACTTTCACCGCTGAAATCTGGTCGGACCGGGTTCAAAACACAGAACATGTTGTGTTGTTGCCGATAGACATATGAAAATGATATACAAGAATATAATTTCTTCAGCATCGTGGACGATATTTTTATGGTGTATATTAGAGACCAGAAAAGCGAGAGGAAAACCTGCCCCAGTGAACCAATCTGTGTTGGCTTTGGAGCTGATAAACAAATTGAGGCACTGATGGAGTTAGTATATTACATTATTGGGAGCTGGCTTTTAGTACAACCTTTACTGATTGCTTTGTTTGGCCTCTTGCCCAAAAGGAGAAATTGAGAGGGATAATCGAGCACTACTGCCAAATGTTTAACCGTTGATAAGTGTTAGTTGGTTTAATAGCTTCATTTATCTCTTGTTTAATTACTGACACCATTTGAGAAGATACAGTCAAGGTGCTTCTCCGGCTTTGTTTCCATTTGCTCTTAAAACTTTTAACTTTTTGAGGTGAACCATCAATTTTCTTTTTCCATAAAAATAATGGATGAAACTGAATTGCAGGTACAGGGACAGTTTCCTTACTTCCGAGCAGTAATTATATTTGCATTTTGTGCATTTCATAGAAGCAAGTCAGTTAACGCTCTGCTCATGCTTTAGAAATGTTGATCCTGGTACAAAAGGTTCATCGAGTTAGATTCACAGTAGATGGAGTTAAAATAGCCCCAGTTCATTCATTTGAGTCACAGCACTATAAGCACCGTTTCCATGAAGGTTGTTACAACCCCAGAATCCTAAAAAGACTTCTCCAATCATCTGGACGAAAACATAAATTCTCTTCTCTGGACAAATATTTCTATTTAATTTACTTAAAACACGGTTTCCCCAGCTGTATTTCCTTTCCTTATGTCCTTGCTCCTATTGTAAAACACATGCAAAATATAACTTATTATTTTTGGATGAAGATATTTGAAATAAATATCAAAATAGCAGCATGATGGCATAACTGTTTGGATTGGGAAAAAGAGACATAACTTGGGAATTGGGTTGAAACTATTTTGATTGTCTAAATCAAGAATAACTGAATGCTTACTTTTTGAAGTGGGGTTGCCAGGAAAGGAGGTGCTGCAGCACCATTTGCACTATTCTTCCCAACACGATTCCCTCAAAGTCTGCAAACCATGTCTTCTCCGGCGTTTGTCGACTTGTAGCCCATGAAGTCGGGTGCCTTCTCGCTCGTTTCAGGAACAGCTCTTTCTCCTGTATTTTTATGTTCGGCTCTGATGTCGATCAGTTCTCACCACTGGCTTCGGATCTGTTCACTGTGGAGAAAGAGAGCGACAGAAAGATCATCAAGGGAGCACCGTTGACCATCATTGCCAATCAGAGGTGTCAAGATGTTACATTTTTCTGATGAAACTGTAATGGTATCAAAGATCGTTGTGCATGAGTGTCATGCGTGTTGTTACTGTATGTCCTTCTGTTTACAGTATTCCGGTTCATTACTTTTCAGGATCTACTCTTGGTTAGAGGATTTAGTGATTTAGATTTCATTTTCAAAACTTTCATTACATTTTTTTTAAATAAATCAGATGTGCATTTGGGACTCAATTTAATCAAAAACCCTCTAAAAAGTAAAAAGAAAATGGACTAAACTTGCTGTTTACGTGGCTTTAATGCCAATTATAGAAGTATAAAGTCAGAAAACTTTAAAAAGTCATTACTTATCCCTTGATTTTCCATCAGATTTAATGCTGTGCTCGATGATTGCACCACCAGGTTAGTCCTACGGTTGTTTTATAAACTAAGTTCAAAGAAAGGGTTAAAAGAATGATATAAATCTCAGCTAAAAATATGTAGACATGAAAGATTTCCATCAAAGCCACCTTATCCCAGACGAGGCCTTGAAACTCTGCCAGCAGCCCCCCCCCCCCCCCCCCACCCTGATCTCTTCGTCTTCTTCCCTCACATCGACGCGGATCGGGTCTCTTTCTCACAGCTAACATTCACTGCTTTGTGACACGAGACAGCGTGCCATCTTCCTTCCAGTCAGTTCAACTTACTCCTCTTGTCATGAAAACAAACCTCATCTGATCACAGATCTGAAACTACTGAGCAGTATTGCTGCTTTAATATTTATTCTTCTAAAATTCTTGAACGTGCTGCTGCCTTCCAATGAGCTCTTTAACAATCTTTTCCAACAAAAAAACTTTCGAGGGCACCTGTTGGATAATAGGTATCCGCGACAGCTATTCATGAAGGTCAGGTTTCAAAAGACTGTCGGGGCCCCTGCTGCGCTCCTGACCGATGTGGCACCAGGAAAAGTATACCGAATTAGCTTTTACCTGTTCCTGTTGGCAACGTTCCCATGGGTGTACTGACAGCTATCGCTGGATTACTTTGATACACAAGACAACCTAAAAACGTGATGATTCTCAGGCAAGTTCTGAAGTTATAAGGGGCATCTTTTTTTTAAGTATGATTTCTAAGTAGATTTATGCGAGATCATGATATCCTCTGGAAGTGTAAGGCACCGAATCTAGAAATGTTTGCAGCATGTTGGTGTGTATGTGAGTGTTCAAATATAATGAGTGCAATTTTTGACACTAATTGAGATCGGGTGCTTCAACTGTTGATTGGGCCAAATCGGCAGGCCAAACTACAATAACTAACTTCCCCATTTTTTATAGAACACCTGTACCTGCACCTGTGCCTGTCACCTCAAGCAGCATCTTCACCTCATGACACTCTCTCCCCAATATCTCCCACTCCCCCGGGGGACTTCATCTCAGAACACCTCTGAGATGAATACTTAACACAGATATTAATAAGAATCTGCACTCGGAGTTGATGTAATCTTGCCACTAAACTGGAAGTGAAACAACTGCAACAGCTGCCACATGTTGGGCAGACAGTGCACCTCGCCTATGATTTAATTCCAGTATACCATCAGTTATACGGTTGGGTTATGATTAAACAATCCTCCATGCGTGGTGTCATACTGAGTTTAATCAAACTGACACACTGGGACAATAGGGCCTGGTAAGCATGGTACTTATGTTAAACTTGTATATCAGAGAAGAGAGCAACTGTGTACACCTGTGACAGATAGAAACAAACACATGTGAGGACAGCAACAGTTTTATTATCAGAATAATTGTCGCGTGGCCATAGGAGGAGCACCTTCATTGCCGCTCAAGAAACACAGAGGCATATTGTGGGAAGAGACAGCAGAAGCAGTAGGTATCACAAAAAGGCTCGGCGTCTTCCTCTCCAGGGAGGTCCATCAGGGCCAAACTGTCTTCTTTTCTACACCAAACCCCTCGGCACTGTCACCACGTCCCATAATTCCTCCCGTCATTGCCATGACACTTAACTGACCTTTTGATTCCCAGCTCTGACACACAGGTTGGATTGCATATCTCCAATTTCTAGCTGATATCTCCAATTGGATTCCTGCCAAACACCTCCCGACTGACCTTGACAAGACTGAGCCGCTGTTCCCCTCTCAGAAATCCAGCCCTTAACAAGAGCCGTCAATCACAGTGACGACCCGCACAGTCGCTCCCTTCCCAGACTGACGTTTAGTTTGATCTTAGACAACCAACTGCTCTTGTAGATACGCTGCGTGCAAAATCTGCTGACTCAGACGCAGTCGTTCGTACAAACGCTCTTCGTCTCCCATCTGGACCGCCGCAGCTCCGATCCGCCTGAGCAACCTTTCAAATAATTGCAACGAGACAGTTGTCGGACTAAACTTCACAATGGACTTGGGCTTGTTTCCCATTGCTGTAAAGAAAAAGTGGTGATATAGTGCATGCAGGTGTGATTTGAGATACTTTCACTACATTACCCATCTCAAACTTTGAAGCTTTGGATTTATATATCTCAAATAACGAATCAAAAGCTAATTTCTTAAGTGCAATTTAAGGGCATCTGTGTACAATTACAAGTATTTCCATGCCAGTGTATCCTCCCTTTTGTGCTTTAACTCTATATTTAACTGGATAGTTGAGAGAAAAATACAATGGAATAGTTCAATATTTTGGGAAATACGTTTATTTGCTTTCCCTAAGAACTAGGGCGTGGGATAAGAGAGAGAGATAATATCAATTCTACTCTCATGTCTCCGGGTTAAGTACAGCGCTGGAACATGATGTGTATAGTTTAGCTTAGCATGAAGCATGAAAACTTGAAGCAGGGGGAAACTAAGCCTGGCTCTGCTGAGTTAAATACACATGTACCAATACTTCTGTAACTGTCATATTAACATGATGTATCTTGTTTGTTTAACCCGTGCATTAACAGAAATGTAAACGGACAATTCATGATTTTAAGGAGTAGGCTTTGGAGCCATTTGTTGGAGCTTGACTAAACATGTCCAGACTTATTGTACTGGAATTTGTGCAACCTGCAGAAACACAATCATTCAACACGTTGTAAAACTACTGAAAACACGACAATATACTGTACTACTATACACTATACGGCACATACTGCTGTATCGTACGCTGTAGCAGGCTCTGGGAAACCCACTCCTGTACGTGTCGTCATCTGACACAATGTTAAAACAAAAAGGCTTTTTTAAGGGTACGGCTCAAACGTGCCTTCTTTTTCCTCTAAATTTCTGCCCTTACATCTTGTCAAACACATACATCCCTATTCAAATAATTATTTCCCTGCAAAGTAAAGCATAGATTCAACCTGCTAGTTGCTCTTTCACACACAACATCGAATTGATATCAATCTCTCCTCAGCTTACTCCCAGGAAGCAAGCATACCAGCATATTTCCCAAAACATTAACTGTTCATTAAAATTCATAATCTGCACGTCATGCCTCAAAAACACCTGATGACTAATCACGTATAGTGATCATTTTTGCCTCCATATCAGGAGTCCGTGTTGAGGATCAGGCTTCCCTGCATATCTCGGTTGCTATAGTGAACCCTTTGGTTATTGTTTCTGTGGGCATAAATAAGGAATCAAGTGTGTGTGTGTGTGCGTGTGTTTTAAATTGTTTATACCTCGCTGTGATTTAATAGTGATAGACAGCAAAGGTGCAGAACCTGCAACTGAAATGATTTGACACACACACTCACACTCACACACTACTCTGACACACAGATACCCTGCGATGTGATCAGACTTTCAATGCAGCAGCACATAATGTCTATTCACTGACAGGGAGGTGGCTGAGGGCAGCGTAGACTGGGATGACAAAGATGACGGATAATTGAGACAGAGCCGACTAAGTGAGACGATTTGACATGAGCGGTTAGCTCGGACCTTTCGTTATCATTGTCCCGAACATGTACTCGCTCTTTCCCATTCAGTGCTTTGCTGTTTCACTTGTCCCTCTCGAGGCCCATCGCAATGACAACCGAAAGAGCGTTTCTCTCTTCCCTCGTTAACCGAGGAGTGCATCAGTCCTAATAAGAAAGCTTTTACACGCTTAATTAAGAGATACTGTAATGCAGTATGTAATGCTCAATTTACTCATCTCATTCTCCCTATCGTCTTCTTTAATTTCATTCAGCATTAATCCGTCGGACTCTCTTTTTCCCCCCATTATGTGGACTCTTCTACATCTTCGCTGTGCTTATGTCCAATTTGCTCGTGCCGGCTCCATTTTGAGCCTTTCCAATACCCTCCTCTTCCACCGCGCGGCCCGATCGTCCATTTCTTTTAATTCTCAGCCTTGATGTTGTTAACTCGGGGGAGAGGGAGACAAGGGATAGGAAGAAGAAAAAAAAACAGACAAAAGGAGAAGAAATGAGCTGGTTGGGAAAGATATTAAGATGATAAAATGCTGGAAATAGGGGGCAGCATTCGCCACAACAGAAATATTGGCAGGGGCTGAGCTGCAAGGACCTGCCAGTGAAACTAATGTAAACATGGAGGGACTACAGAGTGGAGAGGAAAAGAGGGGCTGTGAAAATAGAGAGATGGTGTTGAAGTGAAAGCGGATGAGTAAATAGACCAACCCAACTTTAAGGACGAAGAGGGAAAGAAGAAGAGGCGGTGATAGAAACAAACACAGCGGACACCAGTGAGGTGGAGCGAGCTGAGGCGGCCGTTTTAAAAGGTCCACACGTTTGAACATTAATTAAAAGTTATCCACTGATGAATTGCCCCGTGATGAATTGTTTCCCTTACCATAAGAACGATGCACCCCAGAGGGATAGCGGCAGGCCACTAAATCTGTCATCCATGTTTTTCATGCTCTCTGCTTTTGACAGTAATGAGCCAGGCCAGTATGATTGGCTGCTCAGCGGCTGATTAAAAGTAGTTTCGTCTGATACATGGATTTACTTTGACATT